GAAGCTTGAAGTGACCGTTCTCAAATTCTAGCCCTCTGTCAGTCAGCAATGACTCTGGAATGCCATGGCGATACACAAGTACTTCCACCAGCGCTTGAGAAACAGCTTCAGCGGACTTACACGGGAGTGCTGCCAGCTCCACACTCTTGGTAAGCAAGTCCAGCACGACCAGGACGAATCGGTTACCACGCTGTGTCGGACAGCGCCCAAACGGACCCATGAGATCTACAGCCACGTGTTGCCATGGCGAGGTAGCCTGCGTAGTGAGCTGTAGTGGTGCCTTGAATCGCCGAGGTGGGTCATTTGATCGGGCGCACACCTCACAGCTACGACAGTAGTTCCTGACATCAGCCGACATCCCCTGCCACATGTATCCTGCTTGGATCACCTTCTGCCTCGTTTACTTTGAACCGAAGTGCGCAAGTTTGTCATGCTTGAGCTCCAGTATCCGTGGAATGAGATCCTGAGGAATCATCACGAACTGCTTTCTTCCTTTCCTGGCCAACACTAACCCATTACCCGGGTCAAACACTGGCTCGTAACCAGCAGCACGCCACTGTGTAGACATCTGTCCGTCCCTCCTGCGGAGACGTAGTTCGCTGCTCAGGGCGCCGAGCCGCTCATCTTGTTGCTGAGCTCTGCGCAGCTCTTCGAGGGACGGCACATCCGCCTCTGGGCAAGTATCGACTGGCTCATGAACGGGAACCGATAGCTCAGCAGTGGTACACACTTGAGCCCGAGACAGCGCGTCAGCCGGCGCATTTTCCTCCGCCTTCCGGAAATGAATGGAAAACTGAAACTCTTCTAGCTCTTCAATCCACCTAGCGTACCTGCCTCGTGGATCTTTGGTGTTCTTTAACCACTGTAAACCAAAGTGATCGGTGTACCAGCGAAACGGCCTCCCAAGAAGATAATGACGAAACTTGCGAACAGCAAAAATCAAAGCGAAGACCTCCTTATCCCTGATGTGCCAATTTCTTTCACAATCAGTAAACGATTTGGACGCAAAGCAGATTGGCCTTTCAACTCCAGCATCATCTCGTTGAGAAAGAATACACCCTAATCCAGTATCACTTGCATCCGTGCTCACCTCGAAGTCCCGTTGTAGGTCTGGTAGCTGCAACGCTGTAGCTTCACAGAGGGCCTGCTTCATCCGTTGGAACGCGAGTTCTTTGCCTTCGTCCCAATAAAAACGAGACTTTCCGGAGAGCTGGTGGAGAGGCGCCGCCAGGAGTTGCAGTTGTGGAACAGTCATTGTAATAGGTGCACATCCCCAAAAACTGCCGCACCTGTTTTGTCGTTGTTGGACTTGGCCAGCCCCTGATTGCCTCTACACGCTCCGGATCTGGCTGTACTGCAGAGCCAGAAACAACGTGACCGAGAACGCGTATGCGGCGACGGCAAGCCACTACTTTTCTACTCTTCACAGTTAGACCTGCTTTCCGCAATCTCTCAAGCACTGCTCGTAGCAGAGTGAGGTGTTCCGTTACCGTCCTTCCTCCCACGACGACATCATCCATGTATGCTGTAACACCGTTACCGAGAAGGCCCCTCAGCACGACGGACATGAGGCGGGTAAAACAGCTCGGCGCACCCTTGGCTCCATAAGGCATCACCAGAAATTCCCATTTTGAATCTTCTGTACAAAACGCTGTTTTATGCCGATCTTCCTGCGCAACGGGTACCTGCCAGTAAGCAGAATTAAGGTCGAGCGTCGAGAACAAGGTCGAACCGGACAAACTGTCCAGGCATTCCTTCACCGTCGGCAGGTACATAACCTCTTCAACTGTCCTTTCATTCAGACCTCTATAATCAATCGCAAACCTATATGAGTTGTCAGCTTTCCTAACCATCAGGATTGGCGCTGACCACGGCGAAACAGACGGCCGAATGATGCCCCGTGCCTCCATCGACGCAACTTGCCGCCTGACTTCATCCCGTAAGTGGTACGGCGTCCGGCGCGGGCGCACCGCCACCGGCGGCCCGTCAGTAGTGGTGATTTTGAACGTTGCCATGTGTGTGCGGCCCAACTCATCCTCGTTATTCGCGAATACATCTCTGAATTCATTCAAAAGACTCTGCAACTTCTTCCGGTCAGCATCCCCAATATCCGCTTCCGAAATATCCACTTCTGCCGGACCCGTACGCAGGAGCTTGTCCCTTTCCGCGTCTTCCTCCACACTTGCAGCCGTAACCTGGCCCATGACGGAGTTCCCATACATTTTGACAGATTCTGCGCCAGGATTGTGAATCAGAATAGGCATCCTATTCCCCGCGTCAGAGCGAACGAAACAGGGAACTGATGCTACCCCGTGACGAGTAGCTTTCTCAGGATCAGGATCGAATAGTACCTCCCTGGGAAGACGGCCAAAATCGTCCGCGCCTACATACACGACTCGCTCAGAGTGAGGCTCCACGACGCAGTCTTGCAGCAAACGAACCGAGACTGGCTGCGTAGGGACACCGCAGTGTCTGGCCTCCAACTGCATACGGTGACCACCGAGGTGCAACAACTGTGCGTTAAGGTCGACAAAAAAAAAAACTAGGAAATCGGCGGAGAACGTCCATACCAAGAATTGCAGGCGCAGATAATTCTTTCACGACAATGATTGGCACGTGGCTTACTTGCGTCGGGCCAATGCCAACGTTCGCTGTGATGGCACCAATACAATTTAAAGGCAGTCCATTAGCGCCAATCGGTTTCCGAGCAGTCGGGCTCATTTTCAAACCATTTATCCCAGGTACCGAGGCTGAAATGCACGTGACCGCCGCCCCTGTGTCTACCAGCCAGGAACAGGGAATCTTGTCTACTGTCCCGCCCACATGCAGCGATTGATTTCCCGGCTGGCCCGCACTCAGCAGAGAGGGACCAGCCGCCTTCAGTTTAAAGACAGCGGACAGTCGTGCTGCGTATGTCCAAACTCACGACAGCGCCAGCACATGACCGGGCTGGCCCGTCCCCGGCCGCGCGCCAGAGGTGCGCGTGTGCAAAACCGCTGAATATGCCCAGCTTCTCCACAAGTCCAGCAGACGACGCGGCTCATCGCTCCATGCTCCATACCAGGATCAGCGTGCCCCCAATGTGGCTCCTGGCTCCGTCCCTGCCCACCCGGCGGGCCGGCGCCGGTCGCCGAGTCACGTGCTGGGGTCATGCTGCCACGACCCGCTCGCGGCCCCGGGGCGCCTGCAGCCCCGCCCCGCCGCCACGCGGCGCCCACCCGGCCGCGACCGACCGGCCCGCGGGATGGAAAAATACGCGCAACATGCTCCTCCCCGGGCTGCTGCACCCGCCAGCAGCTCCTGTTATGACATCACGAATTGCCAGAACGGAACGGGACAGTTCAGCGACCTCCGTTCTCAACTTTGTGATGCTGTCTGGCTCACGCACAGTCTGACCCGCCGGCTCCAGACTGCCAGCAGAGTTCCCTATGATCCCCACAACGGGGGACCATCAAAGCGTCCAAAACCGCAGCATCCAAGGTACGCAACATCCAAAACCGCAGCGTCCAAAGTACGCAACGTCCAAAATACGTCCAAAATCGGGTATATAGGGAGCATTCATAGCGTCCAAAACCGAAACATCCAAAACCGCAACATCCAAAACGTATCATCCAAAAACGCAACATCCAAGGACGCATCATCCAAAGTACGCAACATCCAAAGTACGCAACATCGAAAGTACGCAACATCCAAAACCGTTAGGTTAGGTTACGTTAGGCTAGGTTAGGTTAGGTTAGGTTTCCTTATGCCCGGTAGGCATAAATCAGTAGGTTAGGTTAGGTTAGGTTAGGTTAGGTTAGGTTTCCTTATCCCCGGTAGGCAAAAATCAGTAGGTTAGGTTAGGTTAAGTTAGGTTGGGTTAGGGATAGGCAAAAACCAGTAGGTTAGGTTAGGTTAGGTTAGGTTGGTTTTGGATGTTGCGTGCCTTGGATGTCGTGGTCTTGGACGTTGTGGTTTTGGAGGTTACGTACTTTGGATGTTGCGTCTCTGGATGTTGCGTTTTTTGGATGATACGTTTTTGGACGGTATCCCCACAACACAGGCAGGTTTGGATTTGCCGTCTGCGCCCGCCATTGCCTCGTCAATCTGTTTTGCACGGGCTGGAAGGGGGGGACTCTTAAAGCATCCAAGAGCGCAGCATCCAAAATACGCAACAACCAAAACCGCAGCATCCAGTGATCAAAACCTCCAAATAACATCCAAAATCGGCCCTTTTGGGAGCATTCAGAGCATCCAAGAGCGAAACATCCAAGGATGCAGAATCCAAAATCGTATCATCCAAAATGGCAGCACGAGAATATCTGAGAATCTTATCATCCAAAGACGGTTCATCCAAGAGCGAAACATCCAAGAATGCAACATCCAGAATCGTATTATCCAAAACAATACAGAAAAGATGGATCCACTCAAGAGACTCAGTAGCGCCACCTGGCATATTTGCTATAAACTTTTAGTTTTAGGCTCGCTTGACAGGTGGCGAATGCGTCGTGTTTAGCGGCACATCTTCACGATGTGACGTCACTATAGTCTGTTTTTTTAGCAGCTGCCGGTCGTTTAAAGCGCCTGTCTGATAAGTGCGCGAGGAGCGAAAGCAAAAATGCTATGGAAATCCTGCAAATCCTGAAACTTTGCACATCCGTAACTTTTCTTCGACATGAACTAAAAAGAAGGAAAAGATGTCTTTTTCGAAGCTAAAATGTTCCCCAATCGATCGCCAGACCAAGGAGGTGATTTTCAATGTTTTTGAATTTTGTTCAAAAGAGAAAAGTAACATGGCCTTAACAGGAGAACCATGCGGTTCATATTGTTTGGTTCACCCAAATAAAGTGTATGAGAGAGTGAATCTGATGACTGGTGTCTCCGAGCGGACAGTTCGCAACATCATGAAAGAAAAGGAAGTCGGCGAGTTCAAGTCTCCTATGAAGTCAGCCCCACGGACGGGAGTCGTTCAGAAAATCGACGATTTCGACGTGTGTGCCATAAAACGAGCCATACACAGCATGTACGAAAAGGGTGAGCGAGTTACCCTAAACTCGATCCTGATGAAGGTGACAAGTGAGCTGGACTTAACCTTCAGTCGCAGCTCCCTGCGCAAGATCCTCCTCCAGAACGGCTTCCGTTACAGGAAGGTAAACAACAGGAAGCTGCTGATGGAGCGCCCGTACGTGCGGGCTGCAAGAGCCCGCTACCTCAGAGAAATGCGCAGGATCCGCAATACTGAGCCCGACCGAGCAGTCATCTATCTCGATGAAACGTGGTTCAGTCAGTTTGATTTTGATCAAAAAGGCTGGCTGGATGATCGCGAGTTTTGTGGCAGAAGAAGTGTTGTTGGCAAAGGCAAGCGTCTGATCATTGTCCATGCTGGATCCAGAGATGGATTTGTCGGTGATGCCTTGCTTACCACCTGGACCGACGGCAAGAGCACCGACTACCACGACTCGATGAATGCGCAACATTTCGAGGAATGGTTCTCCAGCCTACTCCAGAACATCCCGGCTAACAGCGTTATCGTCATGGACAACGCCAGCTACCACAGCCGGATTAAAAACAAGACCCCGACGACCAGTAACAAGAAAGGGGAGATCCAGGCATGGCTGGAAGAAAATGGCATTTCATATGCCGACGACATGCTCAAAGTGGAGCTTCTGGAGCTGGTTCACAAGCACGCTCCCCCAAAAACGTACTATGTGGATGAACTGGCAAAAGAAAAAGGACACACAGTGGTCAGGCTGGCACCCTACAGTTGCGACCTGAACCCGATCGAAATGATATGGGCTCAACTGAAAACGTATGTGAGACAACGCAACAGAAGCGGAAGCATGGGAGCCATCAAGCTGCTTGTGGAAGAGGCGGTGGCCCACATCCCACCCTCGGCATGGGCTAAGTGCTGCGATCACGTGGAAGTGCTCGAAGAGCGCTACTGGCAGCACGAGAACGTGGCCGAAGAGGTGGAGCGCGTCGTCGTTACCCTGGGAAGCAGTGATAGTGAAGACGAAGACACAGAAGACGAGTAGAAGACGAGAGGAGCTGTGCTGGGCTGACTCGCTATACGGTGATGACTGATGATGATCGCATGATTATGATTTGCGATTATGCACGAGGCAGGCGTGAACAGCTGGATGCAGACTGCACTGGGATGACCTTCAGAATATATGGTTTACTTTTTGCTCTTTCGTTTGACCTTTGATTTGACAAAATTTGACCTTTGATGACCTCTGGTGACCTGACCTTTGACCTGACCTAAAAATGACTGATGTGTTTTCTTCATTATTTCTTTTGCTCTTTCGAATAACGCTTACTGCGAGTCGCTACTTGGCCCAGGAGCTGATTTAGACGGGGGTGGGTTCAGACACCCCCGGCCCGGCGCGGAAGTCGCCGAGTACCGGCCCGGCGCTGTTTAAAATACAAACGACGCCCGGACATTTGAGCACTTTTGCATTTCATATAGGTATGATGCAATCTACATATAAAGAACAGTGATAAGGCGGTATACACAAGCTGGTTTCATTCCTAAATTATTCACTTTCTCAATCTCCTGCCTCCTGCTATCGCTGGCACCATGGCACGACTTTTGTACCATCTTCGCTGACACAAAGAGGCCACCTGGCCAGGGAACGTTGCCCTCCTCTAAACCCCTCTCTCCTCTTTTTATATAGTGTACAAACTGATAGCGCAAGAACGGTGATGACAATTCTCAAGAAGGGTTGTGAGGCGTAAAAGACAAATCCGCAGCTTATTCCACCAGCCTAAGTGAAAGTCAGCACAATTCTGAATGCTGGAGCCTGAGTGTGCAGAACATGGCAAGTTCAGTACGACAGCTGGATCGACACGGATCGATACTGGATTGATATGCTCCATTCGGGCCGCCATAAAAGGAGCCGATAGAAAGTGTCTCGTATTTCTATTTTCGCAGTCTCAAAAGCACGCGCAGTTGCAATTTAGGCACTTAAAACGACCGGCAGCTGCTAAAAAAACAGACTATAGGTAATATGACGCCACTAGGTATTATACAGTGGATCCCGCTTATATTTATTAACAACCAGAGCCGACTGCCGGTGGCTGCTCTGTGCTCCCGCCGCCGCCGCCGCCGCCGCCACTCTGTCTCCCGCCAAATAGCAGGAAAGCGCGGGAACCAAAAGCGCGCCAAATCGGCGCGCCGCGTGCTAGCTCTTCGCTCGCTAGGTGCAGGTGCACTTGGCACCGGCTGCGCGCCGCGTGGCAACTCGTTGCTCGGCCGGTACAGATGCACTTAACAAAGCAATGAATTGCGGACAGAGCTGTTAGCTGTTGAAGCCTGGTGGCATTACCAAAAGGTTAGGAAGTCGATGGTATTTGGTTTGATGGATAACTTTACTAGAAGTTATTCGTTGAGGCTGCAGGCAGGGGCGTCGCCACGGATTTTTGACTGGGGGGGACGATCGACAGAGATGAAATCTAAAAAAAAACACAAACAACACGGCCAGGCGACCGTGTTTGGGACAACACGGCCAGTTAACTTATCAAGCTAACAGGGTATCAACATTTTATACATCACGCAAGGTAGGTATGTCATAAAAATAAAAATGAGCTTATTATGCCGGGCTTCCCCCGGCTTCCCCCACTGTAGGGTAAGGTGCCTAATTAGCGACCCTTTCCTATTTGCGACCTACCTCCCTACAGAAAAGCTGGGAAGATAAATCGGGGTAAAAACAATGTCAAAAGGTCTGCCATACTTTGGTTATCAAACTAAATTATTTTCCGGTTGTTGGTGCTTCTGGTGGAACGTTTTAGGGGAGTTGCGATAATGAGGTGTTGCTGAATTTTGCGATGTGTGGCGGGTGATACCAACTGTCGTCACCGACTGCAGGGGTGCCGATGCCGAATCCAGGGCGGGCCTCGAATATCATGCGAGATAGCCCGCGATATATGGGTTTTCGCCTTATTTTTGCCTTTGGTGCATCACGTGATCAGTTTTCACCTTCATAAAGGTGTTGGACAAACGCTCCTGTTCCAATGATTGAGTGCTTTGCGTATAAGTTGCCTGTTTGGAACCATATTGCAAATTTGCAGGCGTCGCATTTTTTTTTTTGCCATTTTTATTATGGGAAAACCCATAGACTTATCAGCGACCCTCACCGTGGTCGCTAATCGGGACGAGTTCCCTATTAACGTTTTTGCAATGGTTTGCCAAAATGCTCAGTGCAAATAAATTAGTGGATATTGGTGCAGAAAATGAATGGATTTTAATAGCAAAATGTACGATCTCTTCGAAGATCAAGCCAGTAATACAGTGGCACCCATAGGGCATGAGCAATGACGGTTCAAATTAAGGGGGTCGCTAATTAGACACCTTACCCTACAGATCCGTATGTATTCTGAGTTCTCTCATCTAAGAAAAATGATTTAGTTAAGAAACTGAGCTCTTGGGAGCGATTACCGTAGCTGAATGTTTTGCATCGAAATTGGCCGAACATGACGTCACTCTGACGTTATTTCCGGTTGACCTATGAGAAGCGAATAAATTTTCATTGGAACACGAGGTGTCAAAGTGATGGAGCCGAAGGTTCAAGGTAGTAGGTACTGCAAGTTTCGTGTGCATGGATACGCCCAGTCGTTTAGAAGATGTTGTAGAAAAGTGAGGGGAGTTCTCTGTAGAGTCCCCCCCTCCCCACCCCCAGCGCGGGTTAATGGCAGCCGACCGATTACCTGTACCTACATTTGCAGCCCGATAATTCAACTTAGTACGGTTACAGGCAAAGCCTCTGGGCTTCAATCATTATCGTCGCCACGGGGATGGGGGTGGGGGGGGGGGCAGGCGGGGTAGCTTCCCCGCCCAAGCTCCGACCGTTTTAGCTTAATCGTTTTGAACTCGTTAGACATAAAATTCGTACCATCCTTTTTCCGTCGAGATGGTTCGAAATATGTATTTGATAGACCTCGGTAGTCGGTAGGTCACTTTCACTATTCGACCCACGTCAAGGTCAGGTCTTGTCTTGACCCAAGCAGGTCTTTTTGCACCTAGCGATCGACATGTCATGACAGTTTGGTACCACACTATTTACTAGTTTTAAGCACCATTATATCGTGGAAAAACTACTTTTTACCATATTTGACCTCAGATGACCTATCCATTTCAGTAAATGGTATCCGGGTCATCCTCACCACTCCAGAGCCGGTGAGGGCCCTTTGAAACTGGCGGGGCCAGCTGGGATAACTGGGCTTTTAGGTGCCGGTGCGGGGCCCTCAGACTTCGGCCCCAAGAGACCTAAGGGGGCTGGGGCCCTTAAGAGCCGGCGAGAGCCTTTCGATACTGGCCCATGGGGCCCTGAGATAACCTGCAAGATAACACCCGCACGTACAGCCCACCGCTAAAGTAATGTGTGGTTTTACCAATCTCAACGGATGGCTTTGACCGACGATTTTTAAATGCGGACTGATTGAAAAGAAGACGTCAATAGACAAAGTTGTAGCTGCAAGGGTGAAGATACATGTAAGCTACATTTAAAGTCTCGTTGCAGTCTGGCTAATCGTTCCTAGGCTTCAAAAGCAGAACATACCCATGACTGAAACCACACATTACTTCTGCTGTGGACTGTACCTGTTTAGGACTTAAAGTTCCGGTGCGGGGCCATCAGGCTCGGGCTGGGGCCCTCGAGCATCGGGCTGAGACAAGCAAGCGCCTGTGAGAGCCCTTATTAGCCCGCATGAGCCCGCAATGAAATGTGGATGTGCAAAAATTAGTGTTTGCAGTGTGAGGGGGGCTTAGGCCGGTCCTGCAGGCCCTTCGTTACCTCCCCTCCGGATATCTACGTTACTCTACATGACAAGTGGTAGGCCGGGACGTCTCCCAGCCATTACCCCGACTGCCACCCGGGCCACTGTCATCTACACTAATTGTACTAAACTATGCATCGTGGTTCAGGTGAATAACTCCGCCATTTTGGGGCACACGCGGTTGGAAGCGTACCCTCATGGGTTTGGAGCTAAGCTCCTGAGCCGTGATGACTAAACTACGGTACCGAATGAATCAGACTCCGCTCAACCTCCGTTCTCCTCCGACTCAACCCGTCTCCAAATGCATCTGGTCAATTCTAAACCCATTTATTGTAAAAACCGAACATCATAAAGGACTGCGCATTGAATTGGATCCGAGACGACCGATTATTTCCGTTTCCGCAAGTTTCTACCCTAACACTACCCTAACGGTTCACGGCGCGCGAATCTACCTAACCCTCCACCCCGGTGCTCCTATCCTAACTATGGGATGTGCTTTGAGCCCAGCATCAATCCCTGCGTGACAGGAACCTACCTCGAGCCAGGTGAGCCAGCAGCAGAGAGCAGTCGGGGGCTCGATGTCCGTACCGGACGGCAGTCAGACACCAAGAGCCCCGATCTCCTCTCCCCTGCTTTCGTCTCGTCCCTCGCCCGAGTAGGCCACGCCCACATCAGCCGCCTCGAGGCCATAGATGGCGGCCGATGTGCCCGTGCGGTTCCCGCCGCGCTGGCCTCCTTTCAGACCCCTGCCTAAATATCCCACGCGTACAATTTTAACAAAACCAAGGTAACTAAAACGGACACTGACTCAAACTAATCTCCCAGCTGGTACGGCCGCTCTCCCGCTCCCCTACAGCAGTTTGCACACCTTGGGATTTTCAACGTCTGCAATTGCACATGCCCTGCCTCCCCCCCCTCGCCGGAATCCGCAGCCCCATAATCCAAAGTGTTTTTAGAAATATAATTATTCTGTATAATAAAATATCAACATCAGCGCAAAAGATCTACACGCAAAAGCTCTACAGTCTTGCTTTTTGTAGAACACTTAACACTTGGTATGTTTAACGTTACGGTCCGTTTGAAAACTCGGCCCGTTGCTGTACAGTGGAATGTGCTTAATAAATCCTCGAATAATAAATCCAGCCGCTTATTGTGGCCGCTTGAGCCATAGGCGGCGGAACGGGGAGGGCACCGGGGCACCGTGTCCCCTTTTGATTTTGGCATTTTAACATGAGCCCTATGGGCGATGCATGGAAAGAAT